CCCACCCCCTCCACTGTCCCCGCCCCTTTTGTTGTCCCCGCCCCCTCTCTCCAGGCACTGCCACACAGACGGCCGTCGGTACCCGTCCAGGCTGTTGAGCAGAATGTTGGGCCCGTTGCGACGCGGCCCGAACGCCCAGATGCGGTCCACGGCGTTCCTCCACTTGTGGCCCTGCATGTGTGTCTCCAGTTTCTGCTTGAGGTCCCGGATGCCCTCCAGCGTCTTGCCGCTGAGCGCCAGGGTGCGGCCCTCTTTGGCCGACATGTTGAAGAGCTCCATGGTGCGGATGAGCTCGCTGCTGCCCTCCAGCAGCCGGGTCACTTCCTCGGGGAGCGGCACGGCTTGCACTCCCACGGCTGCCAGCTTGTTGGCGGTAGTGAGTGTGACGAGGCCCCTGGGATCCACCTGCACCGTCTCGGGGAGCCTCGGCTGCTCGTCCTTCACCTGCCGAACAATGGCAACCTTCTGCTGCTTCCCGAGGTCCTCGTTGACCATGTCTACCTTCGGAGGGCGAATGACGGTTTCTCTGAATGGAATGATGGGCTTGGAAGCACTGATCTCTATTTTGGCAAACCTAAAAAATACCCCCCGAAGAAAACCGGTGTTAAATCAGCAGAGACATAAATGGACACTTTAAGCATTTCTGAATTAGAAGCTCTTAGGAAAGTAAGAATTTCATCATTATATTAAATGGCTTCTTAAGTCATGTAGAAGAGGCTCATTCAGACGTCTTCTTGCCCCAACCCCTGACCTCTATCCTGATACAAAAATAGGATATACAGGCAGAAAGACTGTTAATGCAAGTGGAAACAGTTTCTGTAAAAAGAGAAATAAATGAACAGCAGCAACAACCGAAGACGGCAGAAGAGTAAAACCCGTCGGGTCACGTAGTTACTCGTACGCACATCGACATGAAAACAGACTGCACGATGTCTCGCAGATATGGTAATACAGGTGTGGCTTTCACTTTCAGACAACAAGGAGGATTCTAATTGGCTTGGAACCAGACAGGCGGAAAACCAATAAAAACAACAATTAAAAAGCAGTTAATCCTTCTTAGGATGTTTACAAGTCAAACACTGCGCTTTCCGAATGATCGAGAGATCATCTACAGGCAATTCTACAGACACCACTAGGGGACACGTGAGACAAACAAGATGGGTTCCTCCTTAAATTATTACTACTATTTTTATTATTAGTGAACAAACAGCCCCAAGTTGAACGAAAATCACCCATCGGCCTTCTGTCCCACACGAGGCTACTTCACAGGTGCGGCTGATTCCATCTCGTAAGCAGGACACCGCAGAGGGCATTAACAGACATAAATCTGCAAACAAAACACTTGTGCTCCAACAAATGCGGCTGTTTGTCTGACAGGGCTGAACATCCGTGACAGAGGGACGAATGAGAACAAGCCTGTGAGTCTGAGCCTCAAACGTATCATGGGTAACGGCGAGCATATGGCTACCTGTAATCAGGATAGAGGCGCGTCCTGACAGCTGACCCGGCATGGCGGCTGCGACGGAGGTCAGTCTCTGGCTGGCGACTGACCCCCTGCCGGGCCAGACTGCCAGGAGCGACAGGCAAGGCGGGCCATCAAACGGCACGCAGGCCTGCTGCGCTCCTCAGGACGGATGTGCAGCTGAAGTGATATTTTTAACCCCCTACCCAAGGGCAGAAGGTCAGCTGGTGGAAACGTGCAGACCAGCTCATTTCATGAGTGTCTCTTTAGCCCCGTGCATCAGCATGTGGGTCAAGCCTGCCATTGTTTTCTCACAGACCTCTGTTCATCCTGGGGGGTGGGGGGGGGGGTTCAGTTGACCCACATATCCTGCTTGCTGTCGAAGACTTTAAACAATATGACGGGAGAAGGGTCAAAGAGAGCCACACTTCCATTTCTGGCCAGTGGGGGGCACTCCACCAGCATTGCAAGCAGCCTCCGGTTCTGCCCCCGCCTACGGCTCAGCACCCTTTAGCATGAGATTTCCCCCCGTTTCCACGGGCAATTAATTCCTCCTCCTGAAAAAACTACCAGAAACATCAGACGAAGGACTGGGACAAAAAAACAACACGGAAACAATAACTACAGAAATCCGGAAAACCTTCAGAGACATGGAAAAGTCGCTCGTAGGAGTGTTTCTGAGTAAAAACAGGGCAGATTAGCCCTTTTTACATTATACTATCCCTTAATAAATCTCCCAGGATATAGACATACACACACAGATAGACAGACAGACAGACAGACACACACAAACACACACACACACAGACAGACAGTCAGACATACAGACAGACAGACACACACACACACACACAGACACAGACAGAGACAGACAGACACAGACAGACAGACAGAGACTGAGAGGCTCTTCACTCCACACTGCTGGCATCAATTCGGCACCATTAAGCTGTACCTGACCATCTCGACACATCTAACATTTTAATCGGTTTTGCTGCACTAACCAAAGGTTTATTGAGCGGGACACTAAGTGAGAGATCTCGAAAGCCTCTTTAGTAACTTACAGACTAAGGAATAAGGTTTCTAAATCATTTATGAGATTATGAGGAAGCCTCTATCTCCTAATTCTTCAAAAACAGGAGAAGTGCTTTAACCCTTCGCTCACGGGTTTGACTCGCCTGCTTTCGTAGTTAATCACTTAATGGGTTTATTTCAGTACCTCTCTGATGGTTTGGGAAGAGGCTCACTGGCCGCGATGGCTGCTCGCACACGAGCGGCTCAGAGGGCTGCGGGCAGGATGCTGGCGAAAGCTGCCGTTTTACGATAATCTCAGGCTGCCGTCCTGACCTGAGCGGCGTCGCCAAAAAAAGGTTCTGAAATCTTTGCACCGCAGTGGGGAAGTAAACAGAGAGACCATCGCTGCATTAACGCAACACAGGAGAAACTTAACGATGGCACAAATCAAACGTTTTGACCGACGGTTTCCCCGTCGTAAAGGGCGAAGCCATCGGGGCCCCCCTGAACATCGGGGCCTCCCTGAGCATCGGGGCCCCCCTGAGCATCGGGGCCCCCCTGAGCCATGTGACCTGTTTAATGGTTTCCGCTCGGAGGTCCTTCTTAAAAATGTCCGGGTTGGGTCGCTTGGCTCTGGGAAATGGCATTTACAGTAAGGGAGGATTTACATGCCATTACATCACTCCATCTTCCCAGGCGAGGGCGGGGGGGCAGCGCAGTGTTACAGACACTCAGGCATCGTACTCGTGGCATCGATTTCCCGCTTTTCTTCCAGAACCCTGGGTGCTGCCCCCGTGCATGACACCGCAGGGGGGGGGGCTTCCTCAGGCTCCCCAGTTCACTGCTTAAACCTCCACAGTATCACAGGAAAGCCGACACAGAGAACTCGCTTTCTCATAAAATCTGCATTTCAAATTTATGATGTGTCAATTATTAAAGACCACCTTAATTCTAGATATTGTACGATTTATTTTGTGATATATTAAAATAAACATCTTGTTAGCAAACTTAAAACAAGCTGTCTCCACTAGAACAAAAAACCCCAACCACTCATCCCCCCAAAAAAAAATTCCCAACACTAATCCTAACACTAACACTAAAAATAACACCAACACTAACACTAACAATAGCACTAACCCAAAAGCATAGCCCTAACCCTATAACACTGACCCTACACTAAGACAGGCAATAATATTAAGTAAATTAAAAACACAATATCTGTGATTTTTAAAAATATAATTCAGGTCTTTTTTCAGGCTTCCAGATTCAACTGGTTTATTTTGCATTAAAAAAAATTTGAACAAAAGACAATAAGTACCAGTAATTATTGTGTCCTTTCAATAATTATCAGTAACACACTCAAAGTGAACTAATCACAGCTACTTCATTAAAGGCGCATTCTCGCTTCCTTGCATATCTCTGGACAGCTATCCCATCCCATACATGCAGCATCCCAGGAAATACTCAAAAACATACACATGAAATATCCCGAAATACCCAGCGAAAGCCAGCCGACAGTGACATCAGCACAGGGGCGTTCCGGGCCTGTGACCCACCCAGCAGGATGTGTGTCCATCATAAACCAATTAAAGATAATCCAATTAAAGTCACTCCGCATCCCTCAGACATTTTACTGCATAAATGTGAAATTCAGGCTCTTAGAAGCTGATAGTTTATAAAAGACTCAAAAACCCTTCAAACTTCAATCATTATCACTGTCCTTTATCATTTTTAATGCCGCCTGAAGATTACACTTCCTCAAATCCACAAACATCGTCGTTAGGGTGTAAATGACACCGATGTGAAGGGTTTGAGTGGTAGACTTTCAGTGTGAGACTTGAAAACGGGGGGGGGGGCGTAGGGGCTGGCATGATGGCAGTTCATCAGCCGAACAGCTTGGGGGGGCATTCCAGAACACTGGCATTAGTCTTTTTTTTTTTTGTAAATTTTTTATTTTAATTTAATTTAATTTTATTATTTATTGGTGTACATCACTTTGGTCAGCAATAGCTGTGTTTAAATGTGCTTTATAAATAAATTTTACTTACTTACTCACTCGATTAGAGGCTGACAAGCGTCTCACAAGCCAGATTTAAGGTGGAATCAACAAGAACAGTTAAAAGAGCAAAAACCCTCAAGCTGGGACTCTGACAGGGACTCTGCCTGTCTCCCTCCCTCTAAAAGCCCTCAAACGGGGACTCTAACAGGGACTCTGCCTGTCTCCCTCCCTCTAAAAGCCCTCAAACGGGGACTCTGACAGGGACTCTGCCTGTCTCCCTACCTCTAAAAGCCCTCAAGCTGGGACTCTGACAGGGACTCTGCCTGTCTTCCTCCTTCTAAAAACCCTCAAGCTCGGACTCTGACAGGGACTCTGCCTGTCTTCCTCCTTCTAAAAACCCTCAAGCTCGGACTCTGACAGGGACTCTGCCTGTCTCCCTACCTCTAAAAGCCCTCAAACGGGGACTCTGACAGGGACTCTGCCTGTCTCCCTCCTTCTAAAAGCCCTCAAACGGGGACTCTGACAGGGACTCTGCCTGTCTCCCTCCTTCTAAAAACCCTCAAGCTGGGACTCTGACAGGGAGTCTGCCTGTCTCCCTCCTTCTAAAAACCCTCAAGCTGGGACTCTGACAGGGACTCTGCCTGTCTCCCTCCCTCTAAAAGCCCTCAAGCTGGGACTCTGACAGGGACTCTGCCTGTCTCCCTCCCTGCTCACCTCTCCCTTAGGTCATCCAGGCAGCGCTGCAGATGCACCTCCCCCGCCGTCACTAGGACGTGCTCCCCCGTCTCCTGGATCAGCACCTCGGCACACGGGTCGGCCTGGTTCAGCAGCTTCATGCCCCGCACCAGTTTGGACATCTCACCTGGGGAGGCCCACATACATGCGCGTGTGCGTACACACACACACACACAAACACACACAAACACACAAACACATATATTGAGGAATATACACACAGTACACAAAGAAATATATAGATATTCAAGGTTTTAATATTCCCACCAAATATAAAATTACGAAACACAATCTGTTTTCAAATCAATATTCAGCAGCTGACATTAAACCTGCCTTCACATTTGTCTTCAAACCCATTTTTCCCACTCCTTCCACATTCAGCCGGCCAGTTCTGACATGCTTAAGCAATAATAATCATGCTTACTATTATTATTTAATTATACTTTTAAAATGCAGTTTGAATGCAGCATCATCCAACACGTCAGCTGAGCTCAATCCAGCGTGCCGACATCGAATTAAAACATTTGCTGGCAGTATAGGAGAGATTACATTTACATTTAATCTATTTACCAGAAGCAACTGGGGGTTAAACGGCTTGTCCAGAGAGACAACAGTGTAATCACTCTGCAAACCATGGGATTTGAATTGGGGACCTTCTGGTCACCAGCACAGCGTAAAATAGCCCACAGAGCCATGTGTCGTCCCAGTGGAAGGATACCAGAGAGGAAGAGCAGCAATGAAAAAGCTGCAAACTTCAGTCATTTTTTTGACAGCTAAAGCAGAGGAGCTCACGGTCCCCACACATATAAATAAATGCTGTCCAAACTTACTGTTAAGGGAAAAAGTAAAAAGGTTTGATAGATCCCAAAAAAAACCACCATCCGCAAAGTTTTTTATAGCTGAAAAGTTGAGGAATAACTCAACGATACGAAAATGAGACGCATTTCTGAGCTAATTATACATGCAAATTTTACTAAAAGCTTCTGAATGGCTCTTATCACAGCTTGGTACAGGAACAGAGACGGGAAAAAAGAAAAACGTTTTCAGGGAGGTTATGTAAAAGGTGGAAAAAGATGGTTCATTTACTGACATGAGGAGGATTTTTTTTTATTGAAGTAAAGCAAAACTGTCTAATAGACTCCATGTGGGGGAAATCTCACCCCCCCCCCACGTCTCATAAACGTCACATCAAACTGGAGTCAGAAAGGAGGTTATAATAAAACTAACTGTTTTTTATTTGGTATTTCGAAAAGTTGTTCAGCCATCACGAATGGCTGTAAAAGAGGTGGTTTGTGCATGAGTGTGAGTTCGGGAGGGTGCACACTTACTTGGGTGTTTGGGCTCAATGGCGACCCTCACGATCGGAGTGGCTTCGAAATTGAGGGGTGTGAAGGCGGGACACGCAGGGTTTGTCGAGATGGTGGCCGACTTCAGGATCACCTCCTCCATACCTCCCATACCTGGGGGACATCCATCAGAACCGGGGGGGGGGGGCAGGTCAAAGCATCTCCAACAACAAATGGATGCATTAGTCCAGTCACATTAACCTAAAAAGTTAATGGGACCCCACCCATACGCTCCCGCGAGCCGATTAGCGACTCCTGGGTCCGCCCGGGGCCATCGACAGGCGAAGGTTCTGCGGGATCGACTGAGATGCACTTTTTGAGGCCCCGGCGTGAATATCCCGTTTCATGCTTTCAGGAGACGCGCTTCTGCGTAATGACTTCCTGAGGGGCGTTTATTTATTTATCTTCCAAACGCATTAAAGGACGCTATCGGCTTAACGATAATGCACAAAACATTACTCCACCACTTCCCTCGGCCGAAGGCTCTCTCGCCGTTACCCGGGTCTAAGCATTAAGATGGAATAACGAGCATTATAGAACGGACTACGGCTTGACAGGGCACGGGCTAAGGGGTGTTAAGAGAGGGGAGCGACCAGGGAGGTTCAATCACAAAAACACCAGAGCGCGTAAATGAGCAGAAAGGCTTGGCCGACCCAGCATCCTGCATTAGGACGCAGAAATAAACAAGCCAACCGCCATAGTGGAAAACGTGATGGGAACTGGACCACAGAGAAAGCCAACAGAACGTCCTGGATGTACGGGCCAGGGAGGACTGGGAGGACTGGGAGGGATGCAGCATTTTACAGACACCCCCATTTGTCCATTTGCTTATGCCAGCCACGTGGTGATGAGCAGCATGATAATCTCAAACAGGCCAACACCCCCCTCCCCCATCTGCTGAAAGAGAAGCGGTCAACTGCAAAATGACGTCCGGCAAACACGCTTAACCACTCACCCTGCTAACCACTCACCCTGCTAACCATTCACCCTGCCAGAGAGGTGGTTTTCCCCAGATGACAGTCATCAGGAGGTGACCGGCTCTCCCACGGCCCTTTACTGCCGTCGTTAAGTCGTGGCTTTAAGGCTCGTCATGGCGGGTGGGACCACATCCCAGCGGCTCCAGAGCAGGCCCTCTCTTCACTGCGCCTTCCATTAAGGACAGTCCTCAATTATGAGGACAGGCGACCCGCACAGAAGGGGTCTCCGAGAGCCCGGGTTCGAAGTGAGCGCCCTACATCTGCCCGGCTGACGGGCGTTTCACTTGCAACCCACCTTGTTTTGATTGACCCGCGCTTAAGTTACTGCAGTCAGACTCCATCACATCAAAGCACAAAGGAACCATCTTGCTCAGCCGCTGCTACTGCTCATAACCCTAAATGGGAGGGGGGGGGGGGGGGGTCACGTTCATTCTTACCCTGGCAAATACCCAGTATCGCTCACGATGCCTGGAACTGAGCAGTTGTCTGGCATTATGACAGACAGTGCTAAGCTCACATGACAGAGGTATAATACTGTGTTTAAGACGACGAGGTGAACACAATTACAGCACCAAGGGCCAAGGATGAATGATCATTTCCTGAAAACCTCTAAGAATCCGACGTCTCTATCGGCTCCGAGACGGACAGCCTGGCCAGGTGTCCTGTGCTTTTCACTACATTCAGCAGATTCTATGAATATTTTTCCCTCGGTTGTTAACTGTCTAGTGCCTGAGAGAGCAGAAGGTGTAGGTTCTGTATACCTGCGAAGGCGTTTAATCGATTCACATAACAATGTATAGGGAATCTACCAGGGTAACCCATTAAGAAAAACAAAGATCATTACTTTAATCCTTGCAGATTTTGGTACGTGAAAAACATAATGAAATACAGCAATAAAAGGGAGACTTATTTCCTCAAGGTCGTAAAACAGTGGGATGGGGGGGAGGGAGGGGGGCAATTTAATGGAAACTTTTTAACCAAAGAAAATGCAGATTTTTAAATCACTGTGACATTCTGTCCCTAAGTGTTCCCATATGTTTAATTCTACATGTTACTTTTTGTTTTACATAAAATAACAGATGTTTACCGACCCCTGCCAAAGTGAGGCGGTGGGAGCCGGACTAGAGCGATAAGTTGGAGAAACCTGCAGGTCTGTGAGGGCCGGGCGGGGGGATCTGGGGGGGGGGCGGGGGTAGGATGCATCGGGGTGCAATGACGTGCAGGATTCTGCAAACAACCATGCGGTTAAAAACCTGTGACGTCACAGTTAACACAGCAGGGCGAGTGGAGGATGAGAGGAGGAGAGACGGGTCAGACACGGGCCCATGCAGACACTCGGGTACCGAGGGCTCCCCGGGACGAGCCCGAGCAGGTGGTGCCTGGGGTTCCACACGGCCCCCCGGTGGCCATGCAGACCTGCCAGCCTCATGCAGCCAATCCTTTCCTGTGTAACACTAACATATATTTATACAGATTAAACTGTGCTCTGCTTCATTTTAACACTGACCCTCCTCAGCCTTTTCACACACGTACTCCTCACCAGCTAAACCATTCCTTTGCATGAGATCCTCGAAAAATGGAGGCTTGCACAAAAAAATGGACACCTTTGTTTTTTCTTTTTCATTAAAAAAACAGGCAGCACTGGCACCTGGAACACAGGCCGCACCCACGAGAGAGACCCTCCGGTCAGTCGAGAAAACAAAGGCAGGGGCAACTAGAGGGGTGGTTTCAGATGAACTCCATTACAGGCACTTACACAAGGCAGCTGAGCTGGGTTTTTTTTCCAAAGCGAAAACCAAGTGGGGAGGTGTGTGTGTGTGTGTGTGTGTGTGTGTGGGGGGGAGGGGATGTGGGTTCAAAGCGACCAAACCAAAGTAACCAAAGCGATGACCAAAACAGATCGTTCACAGTATCAAAGGCAGTTTGGTCAGAGATGTTTTTAGAGCTTTCAGTGCCGGATCGCAGGATTACCTCAGCAGACTGAAATGTAACGGAGCCCATCGCTCACGGCAGGCCTGCAGCAACCTCCCCAGGAAAGTCTTTCAGAGAAGACCGACCCCCGGTGCACCCCCCCCCCCCCAATGACGACGTGACGGCGCAGAAGAGCCCATCACCGTCACATTAACACCTCACGAAGGAATCCAGAGCCCGGCCGGACGGCAGACTGTCCAACGGCAAACCAACATCACAATTAATGTATTAAGATCTTTTAAAACTGATTAGCTATTTTAGAGATTTTCAGCCAAATTATTTAAATAAAAAATACCTAAAACCATCTTCATCCTGGAAGAGTCCATCTGTAAAGTATTCACTCGTAAAGCTTTCATAGGCTAGCAGCAGTTAGCATTTCAGTTGGCTTGGCAGCACGGCTCTCTATCATTTTACGTCTCGTATCCTGAAAAAATTGAATTACCTGAAGATACATAGTCTGAGGCAATGACCCTGAGTAGAATGACCCTGGATTTTCCCTCCATTAACTAAAATCTAATTCAGGCCACCTTCTTCCCTCTCTTGCCAAGTCGTGAAACACGTTAAGCGTGGCTAATAGCATTTGCTAAAGTCGCACGTTAAAACGAGTGGGTCCCGGCCAGGAAAATAACCCAAAGAGTGGCAGGACCATTTCACTATATAGGTTTGAAGTTTTATTGTAGGTGCCACCATCTTTAAGAATAATCAAATGCTGTTTGCTACATGCTAAAAATAAAATGGCTACCATATATACATCCCATGACAATTACATGCACAAAAGAGCATGTCTGGTGCAAAGGGAATATATGCAATTTAAAATGACTAACTGTAAAAAATAAACATTATAAATGCTCATGAGGACTCTGAGGCTGATCTCTGCCCAAAGCTCAAAGCCTGACTGCTGCTTCTGGGACTCCGAGGTCGGAAAGTCAGGCGAGTGTCGCTCTGTGAGACTCTCCGGAACGGCGAAAGCTTCGGCCAAATCGCGGGAGCCCATGGCGGGGCGCTTGCGGAGTCTCCGCGCGGCTGAAGGGCCCCACAGGCGTGAGCTCTCTGCAGCCTTCACCCGAGCGCTTGGGCACCGACCCAGAGTGAAGGCGCTCGCTGATTCAAGCCTGGAGACGTGTCCAAAAACCACAAGTACAGTTGGCAGCCACACGGGTTATATAAAGAGCATATTTTCCCCCTTGTGTATTTGGCAGCTGCTCCCGCCCTCAGCTGTGGTTCCGTGCGACTCCTTCAAAGCTGGCGCCTTGGACGGCCCAAGCGGGCCAGAACCGGGCCCACGACATGCGCCTGGTCCCACCACGGTGCCGGCTCACCACCTATGCCGGTCACCGGGGTTCTTTTAGCTCAGGAACTTTTATTATGCTTATGATCATACTTCAATTGTACAAAGGACTGGGACATTTCGCATCTCTCATCATCTCCAAGACACACGCACAGATACAGGAGAGGGCAAAGTCTGGGGTCAGAGTGCAGGGTTAGTCATTTATCTGGTGCCTCTACGGCAGGTTCTGGCATTAAAGACCGTGGTCTACATGGTCATAAACGTGGCTGTGGGGTTTTTGAAGGGGGGGGTGGGGCAGAGGAAATGGGCATAAAGCAGAGAGTTGGAATCCCAGGAGTCTCAGTGATGATTTGGTGGTGACTCAAATCATGTGACCCCCCCCCCGGCAGGTTTACAGCACGGTTTGTAAAACAGGCAGGCCAGCCTGAAACAGACACCACTAACAATGACCTCGTCCAGGACAAGCAGACGAGCAGTCGTGAGCTACGTGAGTTTGAGGAGCACAGAAAGTTCATAAAATTACCGTGCAATAAAAACAACTGCCAACTACAGCGTGATAACTTATGACCTCTTACTTCCAGCATTTGACTACATTCCACAAAAACATGTCTTTTTCAGTTTTTAATTTTAAGTACCCCAAATATTTCACACAAAAAACACATACTTGGTGTGATGTCAAGCCTTGTTAGGATACAAAATTAAATATTTGTCAACAGGTGAGGTGCAGTGTCACTCCCTACAAGACGACAGCCACATATTTCACACGGAATGCAAAAAACGAAACCGAAGACACAGACACACAGGTTGGGAAAGCAGGACTCCAAGAAGCAGTCAATCTGCGGGCTGCCGGCTAACAGCTAAAACAATGGGAACAAGCT